GAAATAGATTGTCCCGAATTATTGTCCAAATTATATATAAACGTCCCATGTAAATCAATTCGTTCCATACCACCTTTGCTGTTGCCCAAAGCTTCTTCTAATTATAGACAAAACAGTTTTATTGTGCGTGCAATTGGAAATTTTAACAAAATCTGCAACAAATATGATTTCGATCCATTTATTATGAGTGTATCCTCGGCACGAAGGTGCCTAGCACTAGACTTTTTCAAATAAAATATATAAGTGAACTGCTACTACTAATATTAATGTTCTACTATAATTTAGTTTTTAACTACATTGTTATATATTACTATAGTTTAATAGTTGCGATACTTGTTTGTTTGTTTGCTCATTATAGATATAATATTGTTATAAGTGAAGACTTGTCATTGGCTCTCAGTTGTCTAGTCTATAGTTAATAAGATTATTATAGCTGTAAGTTTTCCATGTAAATAAATAAATAAATAAATAAATAAATATTTGAATTGTATAATTGTGAACTCTGATTTTTTTGTGGCAGAAAGGGTTGAAATATTGTCGTTATGCAGGTGTTACGATTGCAATATTAAAGACTTACTGTTAATGTTTGCTCTAGTCATCGAAACAGAATGATTTTGTAACAAACTTGTATTGGTGTTAACACAGGGTCAATTTCAAGAAGAATGAGAAAACTTACGACGCGGAAAAGAGTGCAGTATTTAAGGTTTTGCAAGAGGAGCAGAACGATCCTGAGCCAGGTAAACACTCATCACAGTTGTTGAAAGCTCGTCATACAATTATTAAGTGTCGGTTGCAAAACAAAATTCTCGTAAAATCTTTTAAAATATCAAGTACATGTTGAATACGCGAGATACCTTTTAAAAATAAAAAAAACTTAAGTATTTGTATGAGTTTAAGTACATGACATGTACATGGTGATTCAGAAATTAAATTAAGTATTTTCGAAATTGGGTTGTGAGTAGAGGTGGGTGGAGCGCCCGCGCCCGCGCCCGTGTCCCCCGCGCCGATGTCGGGACTGCGGCACGTGTCCGCGCCCGTAGCTAAGCCCGACGCGCCGCTCAACACCGGCGGTCTGCCGCCCGGGCAGAACATTTGCGAGGAGTGCGAACGTCTCATCACGTAAGTCGGACAATAAATGCCCGACACGGTTGCAAACATCGCACGGTGCTCACGTATAATCTGGTTTTTGGGATACCCTTGTTAAATCGTTTTTTGGAAAGGCGCGAGGTCACGAATACGGATTGATTCGCGAATATTCTGTCTCTAGTCGATGGCTTTTAAGTGTCTGATTGGTCGTATTTGGTCTAGTAAAAAGTCTTCAGGTTGGTAAGTCGATGTCATTTGGTTAAACAGTTCATCGATAGATGAGATTAAGAAAGTAAGAATTAATATTGTAATGGATGGTTGCGGGTCGGCAGAGGCGTGTCAGTTTTTGTCGCGCGCGAGCGTGTGCCGCGCCGGCTCAACGAGCGTGCCGCACGTGCCGCATGCGCGCGCGCGTTCTCCAAGAGTGGAGGTGTCGCCTGTCCCGCGACCCTTGGCGACCCAGCCGACGGCGACGCAGCCGCTGGCGACACAGCCGGCGACGCCGCGGCATCTGGTGCCGGAGCCGGCGCACCGGCCCAGTCTGCCGCTGAGTCTCTCGGCGCACCACCCCGCCGCGGTCACTACCGAAACTCCTCTCTGCTCCGACTGTAGTCGCCACATTACGTAAGAGGCGTACGAGGAATGCCTTGCGTTGTTGCAACCGTGTCGATCTGTGTAGTAGTTAATGTAGTTAAGCTCTGTGCTTCCTAACCGAGAAGCACAATTACATTTAAACACTAGTGCTGTATTAACCGCTGTATATTCATTGTATCTCATTAACTTAGAACTCATTATAAAATACATCTCTTAGATAACTGTTAGAATGCATATCAAAGAAATTACAAAGGTAATGGCACTGAGCATGTCATCATTCGCATCGTGTAAACTATGTAGTCGCACACTCTTTGCCTGATGGATAGCGACATCGCACTACTTTAGGTGAGCATGTTTGTTTAAATATAAGTAAAAAAATTTCAACATTTAAAAAAAATGCGGAAATCCATTCTTATTTTTTGTTACGATATTTACAAAACATATGATCAACTTCGTTAGTCTTCTTGTAAAAAAGTAGTAATTTGTTAGTGATGAGTACAGTGTTGTGTGTGTAGCGGAGTGTTCGTGCGCATCAAAGACAAGAACCTGCACGTAGAGTGCTTCAAGTGTTCGACGTGCGGCTCCTCCCTTAAGAACCAGGGCTACTACAACCTGAACGGGAAGCTGTACTGCGATATTCACGCTAAGCTGGTGGCGCGCCAGAACCCACCCGCGCCCAACCTCGAGCCCGTCACCGTGCCACCGTAAGAAATACAAATATTAAATGCTTGTGATATTTCAGAAAGTTTAAGTCGTCTTCAAAGGCCAACTCACTATTACGCAATGCACGCACATTTGATACGCTACATGTTCTTTTAATTGTTACAACGACATTAAAATTTTTCGTTATTCTTGCCATTAAACTTCTTGTATTGCTTTTATGCAGTGGCGGCCGAGTTCCAACAAACACTTATTCAACACCCCTGCCTCCGCTCGCCACCAACAACTACACCAATGGCAGCTCTTCTATGTTCAGCGTGAGTAATATTGTCAAGACGTGAACTTTGGAAACTTTGAATTTACAGAATCCCAGTATATTTGTTACATAACTAGTAAAGTATAAATCTCCGCTTAGCCCTTGGTTACGGGCATAGCCACATTATTATCAATATTAATTTAATTTCAGCCGTCCAGCAATCTGTCGAGCTCAGGTCCGAAGCCGTTCGGTTCGTCGCTGGGTTCTGCGTACTCGCCTTCGCTGTCACCGCGCTCGGCGCCGCTGTCGCCCGCGCGCCCGCTCGCCGCGTCCGCCCCCGCACCTGCACCGGCACCCGCACCCGCCCCCGCCCACGCCCCCGCACCCTTCGCACCTGCGCCCAGTAAGCGAGTCACATTTGCTATTTAATGTACACACACCAGCCAAATAAACTATACACTACAATATATTAAACAGTTTGACTTAACACGTTACAAAAAATCATAGCAAGTATATTTATGTTTACAGACACAAAAAAAAATATCTTTTCTTCAGCATATTGATGAAGATGTTTTAGTGGAAAATTGCCTCATTAGCTATATCGGTCCATTACTACTATTGTAGAGAGCCTGTTCATATATTTATTTGTACTAGCAACATTGGACTTAAAAATTAAAATTAAAAAAGTTTGATTGGCAATGATTAAATAGTAACACAATTTTTGTTGTTTTGATTTGAAAATTCATGAATTTCTGGTCTATTAGGTTTGATTAAAGAAATATTTGGTTATATATGAACGAATGATTTCTAATTGTTTGAAATTAATATTATGAATACTTCTTTATATATTTAAAAATTGGTTATGCACAGTGAAAAAGGCGGGTTTATTACCTAGAAGCATTCTCTACCAGACGACCGACTATTAAAGAGAAATTAGTGAAGAAGGTGGAAAGCGGAGAAGGAAATGAGAAGAGATTGTTACATAGTCATCATATTACTCAAATATATATGTATATAAGTATACAATATAATTGCTAATATATACTAAAACACATCTTTATTTATTGAAAAGAATATTTAAATATATATTAATATACATACTGACATGTTAGGGATTCCTGTCTAGGACGATTTTTTATATTCTTATTTTTGGCTTATTAGCACTCCGAAACTCAAAATGTGTATATTGTGTGATAGTGTTGTTTATGACAGAAACACTGCAGTAAATACCAAATTATATATTTTTTTATACGTATTTTATACGAATTGATTTTGTTTTAGTAATAAATCTAAATTTTGACAACTATTTTTGAATTAAACTTTATAAAAATATTTTATATACTATATTAAGCTGTTTTAAGTATATACGCTGAGAGAAATCTGTATTTTTTTGAAAATATCATATAAATCCTTGTATACATATTAGTACATTGTCCATTAATCATTTAGTATTGTTAGTTATTGCATTATTACCACATTTACAACAAAATTAACAGTACTTTCAGTAATGAAAAAGCGACAAATAATTTCTTAATAGTAATAGAAATAAAAATATTTTTTTAATACCGCAAGATCGGTTTTTTTGCGAGTTAAAAATAAAAAAAAATGTAATTTATTTTCGACAGAGGGCCCAGGTTCCATTTTTAAAGGTAAATAATAAAAAAAGAGATATAAATATATGCTGATCGGCTTATCATAGCTATGTACAAAAATAAATAGAAATAAATGTGTTTGCGCTAAGCGGCCAGTCAATGTCAGTCGAAGCATTAAAATAACTCCATCCTGGCACACAGTCACTCTTTATAATAAGTCATATGCATAGTATCTACAGTCAGATAACATTCCCGCTTCATAAACACTCTTTTTTTGTCAGTGGATTTTCGTATTTTATTTTTAATTCATTTAGTTATCAAAATAACTAATATTCTTTTCATTTATTTTCTTCCTCCCCATTTCTAATCTTTGTGAATAATCAAATACTAATAGCACAAAATGTAAAAAGCATTATATGGCCACCGCCACCGAACCCCCCCGAAGATGACGTAACTGACGTCAGACCGAAATCTATTGAACGAACATTTGCGCAAGATAATAAAAATGTATGTGCTAAAAACGAAAATGCGATAAAATCAGAGATGATCAGTAATCAAAAAAGTTGCTCTGAGACAGTATCATCTGAGCAAACGGCTTTATCTTCCAACGTGTCATTCAGTGCTGCTACCATGTCCACGGCCACCACGACTTCGTCACAGTCTTCATCTATGGTTCAGTCTGTGCAGTCCGGTCTCATACAAGAAACCAAGAGCAGTATTCAGTCCTTTACAGAACATGCTTCCTCTCAAAATCAAAGCATATGCGTTTTTGAATCGCAGATAAATCCAAAAGAATTTATTCCATTACCATTTGATGAAAAGTTGGAAAATATGATCAATAACACTAAACTGGCAAATATAGAGGAGTCGTCTATGTCAGAAACATTTATGAAAACACATTCGAAGCAAGCTTCTTCTACGTTTCATGAGGAAAAGTGCATGACGAATGTAGGATCAGATAAACCTCAAATTAAAAGTAAATTAGTACCTGACAAAGGTAAGACACATAGTTTACGACAAACTACTGCCAAACAATTTGAAACTGGCTCTAATGTGAAAAGTAACTTTGAGACTCAAATGCATTTAGAATCAAAAGAGAAGAAGATTGAAAAGAATGTTACAGGTTCTATGACAGAAGCTCTAACAATAGCCCCCGAGAGACCATATTCACCCTTACCTTCGATTCAAGCTTCCGACCTACTGAGTGTTAACACAGGTCATGTGCAGACTTTATCAGAAATGTCAAATGTACACACCCAATCAAATAAGTTAAATACAATGGAGCAACAAATAAAACGTGAAAACCCACCTAAAGTTGATAATAAACCATTCAAAGTGTCAGAAAAAACAATGCAATCACAATCATCTTTGGATCAACGGTCACAAAAATCAAATCGTCAGAAAAATATTTCTTCTAAGAGTGGTGAACAAAAACCATCTATTATGCGCGGCTCTCTTAGAGATGCTCTAACAATAGCTCCAGATAGACCATATAATCTTTTAGGTTCTGCAAATTTACAAACTTATCATATCTCTCCAAGCACAGAAACTAATCTGTTGCCAGATTTCCCATCTCACAGCGAGGCGGATAATAAATTTGAATCGTGCCACCTAAAAGAAGTCAATCAACCTATAGTGCAACAGAACACCAAGGAAATACAATCATCATCAGAATCACGCTCAGCATTCAAACCGGTGGCTAAAAAAGTTTTTCCGCCACCGACACCTGAAGAATTTGCAAGCCTTTCTTATTTACCTACGGAATCTGGAAGAAATCAATCAAGTACGGGACAAAAAACTCAAGAAAAACATGAAATGATGAAAGCTAAAACAGAATCAGAGCATTTCACTGCGACGACTACTAGCAACATGAATGTACAAAGCTTTTCAACTGTTAAAACAGCACAAAATTTTTTCGAGCAACGGGATAAAACGGAATCTTCGACATTAACTTCTATTAAACCTGCTTTCTGTACTCAAATGTCGGATAACATGCTTCGCTCTAATGCAAATGCCTCGCAAGTTGTTTCACACAGTGGAGTCATGCCAGAATATCAAAACTCACCACCGGACACAAAAATAAAGCAACCGGTTTATCAAGTACAACCCATGCCACTTGTTGAAGAGGCCTCTAGAAGTTCTCCCGTTCGAAGTCGACCTACTACGCCCAGTTTAATTAATAAGCCTGCTCCTATTATTCCTCATTATCAAATGAATCTAGTTACAGTAGAACATACTGCTCCAAAAAGTCAGGTGTATGAACCTTCGAGTACTGAAGCCAGTCGTTCGTCCACACCTATGTTAAGGTCACGTTCGCCTGGTCAAGGGCTTCAATCCAGCAACTTAAAAGCTCACGCGCCTCGTATAAAAGAGCCTACTACACAGATGCAACAAGGACCGCGTCTAGTGGAGGCAAATGTAAAAACGGACTATGAGAACAGCCAAAGAGACTTTGTAACAAGCGTATGTTCAACATTCAATGCACAAAGAGCTCCAGAACAATCAGTTGTATATGAATCGAGAGGTTCAAAATCAGGACATCAAATAGAAAAATATGACAAAGGAAATCTTAGTTTCAAGGAGGATTCTATGATCAATCAAAATTATGGACAAAAACAGATGCAGTCGCAAAATGTGGCCGAATATGGAAATACAACGGTACACACGTCGAAAAAAACTTTTGAAGAATTTGAACAAATGCAAACCGCTAAGGTCATAGAAATTACGAAGGGGGGTTCGATTTCCTGCGACTCGTATCAACAACAAATCGATTCTAATATTCGACCATCTAACATCTCCAGACAAGTCTTTCCACCGCCTGTAATGAATTTACAAGCCATCCACGAATCTTTACCTCCTAATACTACTAATGAATCTGTAGCTACCGCTAACAGACCATCCGAGTTTTATAAACCAATTCCTTCAATTTCTGGTGCTAACCAAGTTCCAGTGTGTGATCCTACCCCGTCGACAGGTTCGAGTGTAGGAGGCGCCGCTCGCGGCAAAACATTCGGTGTCTCGTCTGCGCCCAAACGTGGCAGGGGAGTCTTGAACAAAGCCGTACTGCCGGGCTCACGTGTGCCCCTTTGCGGTTCCTGCAATGGGAACGTTAGGTGATTGCAGCAAAAGACTATGACTGTTTGGCGTGCTGCATGACGTGTTTCTTATTCTAGCTCACAATAAATCTTAACATAGTGTGAATGTTTTAGTCTTTTACTCTTAAAATAGCATCTAACGTTATTTGTTAACATAGCTTTGTATAAATGTTTGTGTTTTGTTTTTTTTTCTAACAGTTAACGATACGCAGATTCATGGCAGTCCAGCTAAAACTGAGTTCAAAAGCCAAGCTGAGGAGAGACTTATAAGGAAAATGGCAAAAATGGCGCTAAACGGATACGAAATAGGAATTCAAAGGAAAATAAAACCCGCCGATCATATTCAGAGCATGGCGAATAAAATTCAAGACACCGTTGTGACCAAACATCCTCTCAATTCAGATACTATTTTATCAGAAAACAATAGTCGCGAAAACACATTACGAAGACCGTTGAACAAAAGCTTTGATGATGTTTGTAAAACACCTGAAAATAATTTCCTTAATAAAACCACTTCGTCACCATTGTTCATCGATGATGGTTATCCTCCTGTTCCTCCTCCCATACCCAACACTCCTGTGCCGGCATTTGATCCCCCGAGCCCCACAATCTTAAATTCATTAAATACTCCCACCCCAAAGAAACAAACCGATTATCCATTGAAAAATTCCGACACTAATTTATTGACATTAAGCATACTGCAATCACTGAACAATTCCGAGAAATCGTCAAATGGAAGCGATTATTCCAGTAGCGATGACATGTATAAGGAAAAGTCTGAAATTATAAGCAACGGTAATACCTTACGAAAGAAATCTAGTTTTGAAAAGTCTTCGTTCCTCGATGGAATGAATACTTTAAATCAAGATGTATACAAAACGGAAGTTAAAAACGAAAACAGCTTTTCCAATACTTTAAGCAAACGTAAACTGTTTGAAAAGATTGAGGATACGAATCATTCGGATGAAATTAAAAGCAAACCTATTAACGGTTGGTCAGAACTGAACCAAACGAATTCTCTTCGCAAATCTCCTACAGCAGAGAACGGTAAAAACGATATAAAAAGTACAGAAGAATTTACAAAGAAATTGCCCAACAATTTGTATGACAACACGCTTTATGCATTTAAATCTCCTAAAGTGGAGAATAACGTATCGAATAGCTTTGAAAATGGTAACAACGATGAATCTAAAATAGACAATACAGAAACTGAAACAGTGGTAAAACGCAGGGAGAAAAAGAAATTCAGAAACGATGACGGTCGGAGAGATTCTCGTATTGTTCAACGTCCATTGAGTACGATGACGTCAGTGGATGTAGCCGAGGGACAGTATCCAGTCTGCCACATTTGTGAGAAAGCTATAACAAGGTAACAAAAATAACTAAATACAATTGATTTATTGAAAGATAAACGTAAGAGCTTTAAAATTTCAATGCATGCGTGTTCGTGAAAGCATGGTTTTTTATAAATGTCTTAACGAAAATATTTACTGACAAAATTAATGTATGCTACAACAAATTATTTCGTTACTGATGTCTACTGTCTGTAGGGGTCCATTTATAACCGCATTGGGCCGTATTTGGTGCCCTGAGCACTTCGTGTGCGTGAACGCCACGTGCCGCCGCCCGCTGCAGGACATCGGCTTCGTAGAGGAGGGCGGCCAGCTCTACTGCGAATTCTGCTTCGAGCAGTACATCGCGCCCGCTTGCGACAAGTGCCATGCCAAGATCAAGGGCGTAAGTTGTAACGCTTAGGTACCGCCAACATTTAGAATCATTTAATGGTGCCATGCAATCCCGTAAATCAGATTTTTCTACTTAAACATTCTCGTATTCGTCGTCACTGATTCTAAGGTAACACTTTAAGTGATACGCAGTGCCGATGCTTTTAACTTTAGGAAGATTAGGTTAAAAAAATTGTCTTTTAAGCTGTAACCTCGAGCATGTTAAAATGTAGATAATTGTAGAATTAAATTTTTAACAAGTTTCAAGTAAAAAATGGGTCTGGAAATGCAACATTGTTTTATTTTTGTTGTAAATAACTATAGAATATCAACAAATAGTTTAAGTAAGATTTCGTTGCGACTTGTTTGCAGGATTGTTTGAACGCGATCGGAAAACATTTCCACCCGGAGTGCTTCAACTGCGTGTATTGTGGCAAGTTGTTCGGTAACAATCCGTTCTTCTTAGAGGACGGCTTGCCATACTGTGAAGCAGGTATGTTATTTACTAACCAACACGAAACAACATTTTTGCGACATTTCATTTATTTATTCCAAAATAATCATTAAAAAAAATGATTATTATTTTAAATAGGCTGAGTATAACAAAAAAAATTGGTATGTTAACATATAGAGATATGTCGATTGACATCTTCCAGACTGGAACGAGCTTTTCACAACGAAATGTTTCGCTTGCGGCTTCCCCGTGGAGGCGGGCGACAGGTGGGTCGAGGCGCTCAACAATAACTACCACAGTCAGTGCTTCAACTGCACGGTGCGTATGATGTCAGCGTACTAATATTATCAATCGATTCTTATCGTATACCTGTATCGTGATTAAATTCAGTAACATTTCTTCTTCTTCATTTTTATACTTGCAAGACTTAATTTAATCTACGATTTTTGTACTTGCAACACTCAATTTAAAAAAAAAAATAACTTGTATTTTAAATACAATAAAAATCTACATAAAATAGTCAAAACTGTAAGCATCAGTTTGATTTACATTTGCCCGTCATAAAATTTGGGTTTTAGTTATTGCATCTTGAATATACATAAAGTCCGTACCGAAATGACAAACGAATCCCCCACAATCACAATTATTTCAATCAATTACATACGAATTAGATACATTAGACACGGAATTTCGCGCATTTAAGTAAAACAAAGCTCGTCATACGCTCCCACACTGAACTGATTCCTGAATTAACCTTGTAAATTGTGTGCGTGTGCCCTATACCATGTTATGTCTAGATTAACTTGTATGTATATGTCCGTTTTGAAGTTCAAAACCTTCCCAAAATTCTTGGAAGGTTGTTTTATTGTAGAATAGAATTTAGCGTACCCGTCAGAAATCGCTTTTAGACAATGCTTAGAGCCGAGTGATATCAATGAAGTAGAATTTGTTTTGGCTATTTTATGTATATTAATTTATAAATAATTATAACTTGTCAAAACTTTGTTTTTTTTTTATAAAATATAGCTATACTACAAGATTTATATGAATGTATTTAATTATTGATATATTTTAATTATCATTAACTAATTTCAATATGAGTCTTGAATTTTATTAACGTAGATGTTCTTTGTATATTTTGAAATGAAATGTTGATATTTGTTTTTTGTTATATTTAAAGTACTTACTATACGTTACTCATTTAACTTATAATATTTGGAATTGGTGTTTATGTTCATTACAGGTGTGCAAGAAGAATCTCGAAGGACAGAGTTTCTTCGCCAGAGCGGGCCGACCTTACTGCAGGATACACGCCCGCTAACGACCCCCAACAGATAATGTACAACTCTGACACTGTTTACTCCACCACTGTATTCCGACCCGTCTCTCTTTCTCCCTCTACATTCCCCGACAGAGAAACACCGCCGCCGCAACGGACGAGGAAGTTGGAAACGCCCCTCCACTTCGATGGAGGATTGTTTTCCGACATAAGAAGCTCTGATGGCAAGTTACTTAGCAAAGTAACAGTCGATCGAATGCACAGTTCGACGCGTCGCGATGTAGTCGACACGCCTCATGTATCGGAGACAAGCGATGCGTTCGGCAATAAAGACTACGTCGATGATATCGTCAAAACTGAAACTATCACCAATGAGGATGTCTTTAAAGTAAAATTCACACCAGTTTCCTTTGAGCTTGACGGTCCGCAGCAAGCTACAAAATCACTCGAACGACCGCGAACACCGGTTATTCCAACACTTATTGATGAACCAATAACGCCTCTAAATGTTCCCATGACACTCTTTGATCATTCAACAACACCTATCGATCGTCCAATAACACCTCTAAATGTTCCAATGTCACTCTTTGATCGTTCAACAACACCTATCGATCGTCCAATAACACCTCTAAATGTTCCAAGGACACTCTTTGATCGTTCAACAACACCTATCGATCGTCCAATAACACCTATCGATCGACCAAGAACACCTGTCAATGTTCCAATGACATTCTTTGATCATTCAACAACACCTATCGATCGTCCAATAACTCCTCTCAGTGTTCCTATGACACTCTTTGATCGTCCAACAACACCAGTAAATAGACCAATAACACCACTCAAAATAATTAGTAACGACTACGAAGATTTACAAAGTTACAAAATTATTAAAACATTGCTAAAAGAACATTCTAACACGAAAGCGGATAACCTTAATTATTGGGACGATAAAGTGAATTTTACTGATGTTAAAACCGACGCACCAGTTAAAAGAGCTCATAGTCCTTTGGCAAATTTCATTGTGTCTGAACAGTTAACTAAAATTGATAGCTATTTGCAAGAAAATTTAAATGTGTATTCTGAAAATAGTACCGAAATAATTTCAAAACCGCTTAAACTAGACGAAGAAAGAGAGACGAAAAAAGATATAACTTGTTCCACTAAAAATGAATACAATATTACCACCCACAATTATAATAGAAATGTAGAAAACAACAGCAACAATGTGAAGGAACCAACAGTAAAGGACAATGCAGTTGAAGAGATTCAACCAACACCTTTAAAAGTAAACAGTGTCAAAGCAAAACGTTCGGGAGTTGTAAGCGCTATATGCAACATGCCGATGCATTACCACGCCGCGATTTTGTGTTTCTTTTTAATTGTATATAACCTTATTTATCAATATATAAAACAAAATCACCATGGCATTAAGAAATAAATTATATTATTGTTACGAATAAAATGTACGCATGTATTATACTAGTCAAGGAAAAATAATCAAAGAAAATTCAACTTTCGTTTTTCAAAAGTCTAATTCAATTAGTCAAAAAGTATTTGCAAATGATATATGTACATAATAAACATATGTAACAAACACCACATCGTGTCAGTATGTTCCAACATTAACAAATTGGTGCTTTTTTACTTTGCTAAAATTGCTCGCGATGATGTGATATTTCACTTCTTCTAATATAAATATAAGGCTTTGTACACAGCTTCCGGAATGTTCCAATAAACTGTTACTAACTCTAACAGTAGTAATATCAGCTGACAAGGAAAAAAATACATTAAAGCTAAAATATTATAGCAATTGGTGCACCAACTGAACGAATTAGATACTAAGAAATATCCAACTTGTATGAATATCTTAGTTATGTTTTATTATCATTTACTTTTACTATATTTTAAGTTATTTGTTAAACAGACAAAATGTAGAAGATAAAACTTTACATCTGCACTTTATTTTTAGTGTTAATTACATAATTAATCATCATTATTTTAAAACTATTTATTTAGATTTATTATATACCACTGTTAGTGTAAAATGCAAGAACTATGTGAGCTTAATAAAGTATTTTATTCTAATTTTGTTTTATTTAATTTTGCATATGAGATCATTGTGCTCTTCCACTCTATAATATCATTTCCCGATCTCTTTGTTTTGCCTCCTAAAGATTTATTGCCAACTTTATTCAACATGAGGCTGGCTCAACATAATGTACACATATGTATGTCTCTGTAAATGTTCTATGACTGATGGTGAACATTTAACATCAGGTAGATTGGTTGCTCCTTTGTAAATGAATTTAACTCTTATTGTGGCAAGATTTCTTTTTTGAAGAAAAGCAAAAAACATAGTTAAAAAAGTAAGTTAAAATTATTTTATAGTGATCATATATTTTTGTAAAGTTGTATGTATGGTATACTATACAAAATTAACATAAGGATTAATAAATCTGAGTGTGATCACAGCGAGTGGCTCTTAATGGGAACTCTGTATCTTCCTCGTGTAAACAAGTGAAATTATGAAATCAACAACGTGAGTGATCTTGTGAAATCCACAAAAATAAAACAGAGTGCCTTATTAAAACCTTGGTTTATTTTTAATATTTAAAAAATTAGGGTTTCTGCTAGCCTAAATATATAATATGTGTGCCTACACTCTTCTAACCTCTTATGCTAATATATATTTTGCCATATACCAATCCTTTTGCTAAGGAAATTATAATCATGTTTTAATTAATTAAGGTTTGTGATTCCTACACTACATGGCTTTCTCAAAACAATAGTATACCTGGTGGTAGAGTCATGATGAAAACATATATCTTTTATAGATAGAATTTATTGAAGAATTATGTAGAAAATAATTTCACTGAAACAAAAATAAAATGAAGCTTTAGTATAAAATGGACATCTGTCAATGATATTAAATTACAGTACTTACTTATTGTGTACGTAATTCTTAACTGCTTATTTACATCATCATCATCAGGTAAATCTGACTGCGACCATTAATGTCGAAACAATTGAAATCGTTTTTGTAGCTTCTAAGGTCATCTGTATAATCTTCTACCACTTTACATTATAGTCGATGCGTATTTTATTCGGTTGATGTTGGCTGTTCCACATCTTCGCCAAATATAAAACTCCCAACCCTAAAAATGTCATAAAATAAAAAGGCAAAGAAATCAAGTTATGAGTGTTCACTTATTTTGTTTATATATTTTTATATACCTTTTCCAATTAACGCAAAGGCCGATAAACATAAATGTTAAGTACCCATGCCATATTAAGGTTACGGTGGGCACAGGTTGTTTTTTATGACCAAAATTTTTAAAACCTTTAGAATGCAAACAGTTTATGGCACCGATTGATTGAAAACGTAGCATTCGTATTGGTATTCTTAACATTTTAGTGTTCAATTATGCAATGAATATGATAAATGACAAAGAAAAATACTATCACATCACAACATTCAGTCAACTGACAATGACCGTTGTAAATTGCCAAATGGGACAGCTGACGGCCAAAGAGCGTATAATAACTTCCAATAGAGTGAACATCAACAACATCACGCCGCCGTGACCTAGAGTTGGGTAATCAGGAAGAGGAAATAGATTTCCACTTGGCTCGGTCAAGGCTCTTCAGTTTATCTTTAGTTCAGAATGCGCTTATTAAAAAGGAATTAAAAATTTGCATCAATTTTTGGATTTCATCTTGAAGTACCGGTAAACAAGGAAATAAATAGAAACCGTAATATTCAACAATTTTCGTTAATAGTGTATTGATATTTATGAGTTAGTGGTTGTGGGTGGGTAGTGGTTATTAGTTGATTGAATAACGAAAAATCGTTTTATATAATGGTGTAAAATTTATTTCTTTATGGTTTTGTGTATACTCAAACCAACTTCCGATAACACAAAAACAAGCGAGATTTTTCACGCAATTATCACCACCTTCCCATTTCTAACAGTTACATGAAATTTGAGGGATTTCGCCGTTTAATTAAAGCAACAGTATTCGTAATAATGAAATTTGTTTATTCATAGCATGTTGTTTGAAGACAAGACAATCTTAAGAAAACTAAACCACAAAGGTCTCCACAAAACAATCTTATCTCAATTAACTTATTTACAGAACTTAAAAATAAACTAGCTTAAACTAAAATAGTCTTATAATTAAGATACAAACATATTGAGGCGAATTAAATGGTGTATTAAAATTTAGGAAATTTAAATCTTGTATTTAGGTAAAGTTACCTAAAGAAACATATATTTTGTGTTTATCACAAGCACATTCAATTATCAAACAGAATTATTCATAAAATGCATAATCTATATCTTCCTAAACGGAATCATGGAAAACTATTAATACTATGAAATACATTTAATATGTAGTACAAATGTAGTACCCGTCAAGGCCTAACGGATTATATAGGAAACATCACATTTGTCAACTGAAAACTTATTTCTATACGAGTTCCAAAACGAGCTGCGAAACAATTTTTTTTAAAAGAATATGCTTGACGAACTTAAATGCGTTAAAACATTAACAAATGACATCAATTAATCTTCAAATTTAATAGAATGGACCCCTGTGTCGATGGCACCGCCGCGGTACGAGCCTCGCTTCTTCTTGGTCTTCTCGTGTTTGAAAGACTTGCCTCGCGTGTGCTTCAAGTCCAGATTCGCACGCTCACCCCATGACCCGCGAGCTCCACTCTATGGACAAATTACAATTTTAAAACGTACGCAAGTAAATCTAACATAATTTATTTACCATTTATTCATTACATTCTTTAACATAGATGGAATTAAGTTATTCAATGTTAATGGTTTAAATGAGTGCACATTTTTTGGCACTAGCTATTTTTGTAACTGTACTTTTTATAAAATTGTATAATTAGTAAATAATTATAAACATAAAAGTTTATAAAACATATCTTACCCATTTAGTCAAATGTTATTTTTTTGTTTTGAGAATTATTGTCTCCCCCGTCAAAACTTTTTCTGTTATTGAACCCGCCTTTATTGAATCCCCCTCTATCCCCTC